ACTCGCAAGCAGCTCCACCATTGAGACCGAGATAGGCTTAGGTTTTGGTCCACGCCTGATGACCTTGGGTCTTTCAGGGCTAATATATTAAGTAAAACTAATTCAAATATTAGTGCTTTAGTGCTATCTCCTTGAGGTTACCGATTTAAAAGTTTATTTTCTAATTTTAGATTTATAAGAAACATATTTTATTTTAAGTATTGTACTTTATGAAACATATTTTATTTTAAGTATTGTACTTTATTTTAAAAAGTTTAAATAATTGTGCAAGACGATATATATGATATATAATAATCAAAAGAAATACTGAGTATCGTTTAAATATAAAATTCGCATAAATATAAATGCGTTTTACCGAGGTTACGATTTAAAAGTTTATTTTCTAATTTTAAATTTATAAGAAACATATTTTATTTTAAGTATTGTACTTTATGAAACATATTTTATTTTAAGTATTGTACTTTATTTTAAAAAGTTTAAATAATTGTGCAAGACGATATATATGATATATAATAATCAAAAGAAATACTGAGTATCGTTTAAATATAAAATTCGCATAAATATAAATGCGTTTAAATAATTGTGCGAGACGATATATATGATATATAATAATCAAAAGATATACTGAGTATCGTTTAAATATAAAATTCGATTAAATATAAATGCGCTACTAAAAATTAAATTTTAGGATGCAATTATTAAAGGTATATATATTATAGGTAAATTATTAAATTATTTAAATAAAACTAATTCAAATATTAGTGCTTTAGTGCTATCTCCTTGAGGTTACCGATTTAAAAGTTTATTTTCTAATTTTAGATTTATAAGAAACATAAGGATGACACGGCACACAGGGACCGGGAAAAAATGTTCACTTTATCGAGAGATTCAAATATACGAGTTTCAAATTATCAAAATATATCTATTTTTTAAATAAGTTTATAGAGAATTGTTTTAACAAATGTTCGTTAGAAAAACCTTTACTCGGGTAAAACCTCGGGCGAAGCCGGGAACGTCCGCTAGTTATGAAATAAATGAAGCTTCCAGGGTTATGTTTCTTGTGCAACTTTTTATTTTCAAGCTTTCGGACTTGTCAGTCCTTCAACGAGATTATCACATTAAAATCTTAATAATAAATACAACTTTTATATACATATTATTATAAACATATTTTAAATACTTATTATATATTGAGAGAAAAATATATTACATTATTTCAGTTTGAAAAATAATATTTTTTGAAATAAATAGTTTATATTGATTAGCTGATATACAATATTATTATTTATATCTCACAATGTGGCTCTCAGATCCCTAACGACAATAAAATGTCACTAAGCAGAATATACTGCCCAGCTATCCTGTCGTTTGTCTCCATATTTATATTTATGAAAAACAATAGAAAAAATAAAAAAAACGTCAGGTGTTGATTTTAAATATAATGAAACCATATCCTGACCAGGAGCACATGTGCTTTTAGATGGCAGAGCGCCATGTAGTGGAACATGAATCAACTAAACATTGATTCAACCTGTTCCCTGATATTTAACAACCCATTTTCTTGATAAATCAAGAATAGCCATCCACGAACGCGTTTCGCGCTGTTGGCGCTCGCAGCGTGTAACAGGCTGTACTATTGCGACCAAAAATATTTTGGGTCCCAGAGGCTTCTAGAGAAACCAAGATACGGGTATTTAAGGCAAAACCTGCGTAAATACCATTAACATTTGAAAAAACAATTAAAAAATAAAAGGTCAGGTGTTGATATTAAAAATGATGAAAGCTAATTCTGACCAGGAGTACATGTGCTTTTTAGATAGCAGAGCGCCATCTAACCTCTGGGTCCAAAAATATTGTTGGCTGCAGTGGTACAGCCTGCTCCACGCTGATGAGCACCAACAGCGCGAAACGCGTTCGTGGATGGCTTTTTTTATATATCAAGAAAATGGGTTGGCCAAATATCAGGGAACAGGTTGAATCAATGTTTAGTTGATTTCTGTTCCACTAGATGACGCTCTGCTATCTAAAAAGCACATGTGCTCCTGGTCAGGATATGCTTTCATTATTTTTAATATATATTTATACGTACCAATTTTCTGGAGTTGCTAATTACAAGCTGAAGATAGCTGAGCAGATCGTGAATGTTGCGAATGATTCCAAATATCTGCTTCCATATTAAAGTCACAAAAAGAAAACTTCTTCCTCTTCCTTGAAAATAAATTCCCGTTGAAGGACCTTGAAAAAGTAATTCCTGTCGTAAACACGTAAGCAAACAAGCCATTTTATTGCCAGAAACACGTCAGAATTCTTTAAAATCAATAGTTTAATGAGGGATATCCATATGAAATAAGCTATCAAATATACAGAATATAATAGCGTTATCTTAAGTAAAATTTCAAATACGGTTTTTGTCTGCAATTTCTTCTCTTCATACTGAATGATAAAACTAATCGAAGATCCTGGATCATCTGAAGAAGGATCTGGAAGATATAATTGACGAAACTGATGGGAGTATATATCGTTGATTAACTCTTCTCCCCCCTTCACATACTTTTTTATAATTGCAGTAAGAACAGTTAAAATTTGTTTTTATTTTAAATATTCAGAGTATATTATTTGAGGTTTTTATTTTCATAAAGAGATACATTACAAAATATTGTAGGAAAGTCATCTTTCCCGTTCAAATAGAAGTTGAAACAACACCCCTTCCTCCCGTTTCTGCAAACTGCGGATTTTTATAACTGTCCACACACACAAATATATTTTAATATATTTTTGAATTAGCAAAATAAAACTGCGATTGAAGAGGAATGTCTTATACAAACTTTATTCGCAAGCTTTCGGACGTCCTTCTACAGGCTTTAAGGATTCATAGTAATGCCTGTAGAAGGACATCCGAAAGCTTGCTAATAATGTTTGTATAAGACAATCCTCTTCAATCGTTGTTATATTTTGCTATTTTAATTCGAAGAGTTTAATCTATTACATATTTTTAATTAACTATAAAATATAAAATAGTATAAATAACATATAGCATCAAAGACTCTCCTGGAAAAATATAAAATAGACCTCTATCTCTGGTCACATCAAAACATTATAGATTGGTGAGGGGGGTTATATTGATCTATAAAATTATGGTCACATATTCCGTCAAAATAAACGTCAAAAACAACGCCATCTGTTGACCGTCTTCGCAAACTAGCGGCCTCGGGTCGGTGACAAAGCTACTACACCAGCTCTGACAAACTGGGTCTATGCGTCAGAGACCATGGTTTGCCGTCAATAGATGGTGTCTAGTTTTGACGGGAGATGTGACCTTTATTTTCTATAGATTAGAGTATTAGTAATTTAATTAGGGAAGAAATAAATTATATGACAAATACGAGTTCTCGATTGTAAAACTCTCTATAGAGTAAAATATCAATAACAATATGCGCTCATCTAAAATTAATTTGAAGGACAAATATATTTTCGGAAATTAATTATCGGAAAAATTGTTCGTATGTTTATTTTGACTTGTATATATCTAATATCGAATATAAATTTCTGATAATAAATAACAAAAGAAACAAATAAATTTGAAACTTCAATTAAATTTAAAACTAATTAACTACGGAATATCAAAATTATATTTATCTTTTCCTACTTTTATAATGAAGCTCTGTCATGTCGTTAATGTAAACATACTTCTAGGAATGGAAATTGTAACTAGTTGGAGAGCAAGGTTTTCTTTTTATAATTTAAAACACAACTTTCTACTTTCCTTTCTGGGATGGAACAAGGGCACTAGAGAATTGTTTGTATTCCTATCGAAAAAATCGACCAAAATTAATTTCAATTTTAAAAACACATGGCATGCGCCATTTTATTGAATATAATTCTAAGAAATATTTACTCTTGTGTACACAATAATAATCGTTAGATGATGGCAGATTTTTAAACCGTTAATATTTATATATCAAAGAACATTTCTGAAAATACGCCAAGGAAAAGGAATTTCTTTTATTTTTTATCATGACAGTACAAGCATTCGGGCGTAACAGCCCTTTCGACAAGTATAATTCGATATTGAGACTTAAAATAAAACAAATTCATATATATTAAAAACAAAAGAGGCATATATGAGCATTTCTAGATGGCAGAGCGCCATCCAATGGCGAAAAATAAACTAAGCGCTTATTTAACTTATATTTATATTGTTTTTTTTTCACACGCGCATATATATACAAAGAATCAGGAAATATAAGAAATGGATATGTCTATAATAATTAACATAATACAGTTAAATCATAAAACTGGATTACTAGGTAATGCTAATGTACTATGGAGACTATGTGTGATTAAAGGAAGGATACCAATAATATTGAGATATCAAGGACACCAAATAAACATTGATGGTTGGGTTAAAGATATAAATGATTTTGGAAAGACGCAGATTATTTAGGTTGGAGATTCCCGAATTATACCATCATATATATCAGGCAAATCAATTGGTCTATTAATACCATTGAGGTTTTTTGTAAGTAAAGCTTCAAGTACTGAAAACTTGTAAAAAAAACTTACTTACATATTATTATACAATTGATTCAACACTTCGAATACTAATCACTATTACCGTCCTTCATTTTGTATTTTCTTGATTCTCTAAATAAATTATTAAAAATTACACGAATTTACACGAATTTCAATTTTCTCTATATATATTTATTTATACGTACAATAGTTCACTGTGTGAAGTTCACGGATAGATTTTGGTCACGTGTCAAGTTACGGTAAGTAAAAATTTAAAAATTAAAAAAAGATGCCCAAACCCGGGATCGAACCAGGGACCTTTAGATCTTCTGTCTAATGCTCTCCCAACTGAGCTATTTCGGTTTATTTTAGTTATTTCTATAGAGTCTACTTATATAATTGCCTTATTCTGTCTGTGTGAAGTTCACGGATAGATTTTGGTCACGTGTCAAGTTTCGGTAAGTAAAAATTTAAAAATTAAAAAAAGATGCCGAAACCCGGGATCGAACCAGGGACCTTTAGATCTTCAGTCTAACGCTCTCCCAACTGAGCTATTTCGGTTTATTTTAGTTATTTCTATAGAGGCCTCTATCTTTATAATTATGTGTATATTTTCAAAAAATCAATTCACACCTCTTCGCTGGAGACCATGATAATACTGACTAATTCATTACGCTAACATAATTATAAATACAAGTATCAGAGTCATCAACAATTCTGTCATCGTTTGCTTTTTTGAATGGAATAAATACCCAAATAGGGCCATTTCTTATAAACATCGGTGGTTCAGTGGTAGAATGCTCGCCTGCAACGCGGGCGGCCCGGGTTCGTTTCCCGGCCGATGCATTTTTTTTTTTACAATTTTAAAAACTCATTTATATTATTATATTTATATATATATAAATCAGCGTGTGTATGTAGGTATGTATGTTTGTCAATTATACACGTCCACAATACGTAACTAATCTGACTGAAATTTTAACAGTATATAAAATCTAATCTGGAAAAACTCTTAGTGAAAATTTCAGGTCTCTCTTCGGAATATCCGTCGTGTTATTTGCAAATTTGCTCTTTCGCTCACGCCTCTAGCGGTGAAAATGAGGGGTAATACCAGCTGACCTAATGTACATGTAAAGTTTGGAGCGGGACGTTTCACAAGAGTGACATCCACGGCTCCAATTTATAATTGTAACGAATAGTATTTTAATAAAAACATTTAATCGGGTAAAACCCGGGCGTTGCCCGGGTCATTCGGCTAGTATTGAATAAAATATTTATTTTCCAATATTTCGGTTGGCTGAACGCCAATATTCGTCAAGGATTGCATTTTGTATTGTATAAATAAACTCAGCGCCGCCTAGTTTCATTATAGATGACATATATAGATATGTACCAAAATGGGAACCCTTTTCTCCCACTCCCTAGATATGCAATTAAACAATGCATATCTCTTAACTAAACTATTAAATACATTTTTTAAAGGAACACACATAAACAAAATTAAAAGAGACAAAAAAAAATAAATATAAATATCTAAACTTACTTTCAACATATATCGTCATAAACTAAATATATATAAACGATATAATTTTAAATAAACTAGCTCGTTATTTAATTTTACAAAGTCCCGAGAGATGGCGCGCTTTTGAAGCAATAGAATCTGTAAATATTAAGCGCCAATTTGGGTAGCCCATACTCTTGCCATTTCAGTTAATATTTCACATTTAATATATAAATTAGTTTCATTATTCATATTACACATACTTATTTATTCATATTAGTCAAACAATTTAGGTATCAACTCTCAATAAATTATTTATTTACCTAAATATTAAATTCAACGTCAACACACCTTTTCGTCACAATATTTACCAATTATCTATTACTATTAAATGGTTCAAATTATTTATAAATATAAATGAAGGCCTATCTCTTAATATTTAATTTGAGATAAATAAAATATATTTTCCTTAAAATTAAAGATACTTCGGCCAGTAAAAATTTTATTACCTCGACGGTTGGACAAAAATATTTTGTCCTCGTCAGGAGCGAACAAAAATTAAAACATTTGGCAAGGCGTTAAAAATTATTTATAGAGAATAAATGTTTTAATTTTTGTTTCCACCTTACGAGGACAAAATATTTTGTCGAAACGTCGAGACAATAAAAATATTTACTGGCCGAAGTATCTTTAATTTCAAGAAGTATAAATGCCACCGGCCAGGTAACCTCTATTTTTTTTTTTTTTTTACAATAAAATATTTGTCCTTATAGTACATTCAATTAGGATCCATTAACTAATTTATATATCTAAAAGGTTCAAATACTAATCACACCAAGTTACTGAAATATAAACAAAAATAAAGAAAAAAGATATCAATTAAGTTCACAGAGTGTGGATAATTAGAAAGTGATATATTAAGAACAGAGAGAAAATAAATAACTAAATGATTATAACACCCACAAATTAGCTCATAGCAATAAAGATAATTGGATTTTTTTTTAAATTAATTTGAAGCAATTTTAAATAATTATAGTGCCTCAATTGGTATGTAAATATAATAGAAATGTTGATACTCACATTCTCTCTCTCTATATATATACACTGATCCGCAAAATTAAAGGAACAACACATGTTTAAGATAAAGAAAAGTTATATTAAGGGATATATATCAAGTTTTGGTTAATTCAGAAGCTTCCATGAATTAAGAGAGTATGTAAAACAGAAAAAAAAGTTGTTCCCAAAATGCAAAATACCACCGTCTTCGTTGACTCCGCCTCCAGCACGTGCTTGAGTCTTTCTCAAAGCGTCCTAATTTTACGCTCCACTAGATATTTATTGAACCTTTTTGTTTTTTAAAGTTTTCATGGCTTATAGGCAACATTTATCACAAGAAAAAAAAAATGGCAAGCTATTGGAAGGATAGCAGCCCAATCACAGGCAGAAGTAGCAAGATGGCTTGGAGTGACAAGAAACGTTGTCTCAAGGCTTCGGAAAAATTTCATACGACAGCTAATGTTGCCAGAACACCCGGACAAGGACAGCCAAGGGTCACAACGTTAAATCAAGACCGTTATTTGAGTCTCCTTGTGCGTCTAAATAGAAGAATGACAGCATCGCAACTACGAAGTGACCTCAATGCAGCTACAGGAGTCTTAGTATCAACTGATACAATACGCAGAAGGCTTCAAAAGAAGGGCCTCTATGCTCGACGACCCATAATTTGTGTGCCATTGAAACCACCTCAAATAGAGCAAGGAAACTTTGGTGCAGACAACATGTCGCCTGGAATCCAGATGAAGGGAGGCGTGTAATGTTCACTGATGAGTCCAGATTCTCTCTAAACAGCGATTCTCGTCGTGTCTTTGTCTGGAGAGAGGTAAGAACCAGAAATAATACCCGGAATATGGTTGAAAGGGATCCCTACAGAAGCCAAGGTTTTATGGTCTGGAATCTTCTTGGGCGGTCGCACAGCACTCCATATTTTTCGGCAAGGAACCCTGACTGGACAGAGGTATCGGGACGAGATCTTGGCAGCATATGTGATGCCTCAAGCATTGGAAATGGGAGAAAACTTTCTTCTAATGGATGATAATGCCCGTCCACATAGGGCTGGTGTGGTCGACACTTTTCTCCAAAACCATGCAATTGCTCGGATGAATTGGCCAGCTCGATCCCCACACCTATATCCCATTGAGCATGTATGGGACAACCTAGGACGGATCTCATCCCTCCAACCCTCTCCTAGAAACACTCATGAGCTAGAAACAGCCTTTACACAAGAGTGGGCGTTGATTTCACAGGAGCTGATAAACTCCCTATTTCTTAATATGGGTCACCGAAGTAGAGCCTGTCTATCAGTTAAAGGCGATCACACCCCATATTAACAACAATATCCAAGATATTTATGCACTGACTGCAAGAAGATCATTGCTTGACCGGCTAATTTGCATAAAATACGCGTTAGAATTCTTTGATTTCGGGTATTCTAATCAATAATGGAACAATAAATTTGTGTATAAATTTTCATTGATAAATGTTCAATAAAATTTGAGATAAATGAAAAAATATGTTGTTCCTTTAATTTTGCGGACCAGTGTATATATATATATAAATACACACATTGACAAAATAAAAGGAAGTTGTACCTTTTAGCTTGTATATCGGGATTCGGTCGATAACTAAGAAAGATATTTGATACACAGTTACCTTTATTGAAGACACACGAGATAACCAAGTGTGAACAAAATTGCTTTTATCTCCTTTCCAAAATTATTACAATTATATATTACATTTACGCTAGAATCTTGTGGTGCTCAGCAAATCCTTCTTTACGTCTTCTGATTTGAAGAAGTAGTATCGAAGTATATATATGATGCAGGATCTGTCCTTATTTTATTTATCTATCGTAGCATATGTTGACGATAAATACTTGGTGCTGATTCTAGAGTATAAATCTTCTCTTTCTTCCTGTATTGTTCTACATGTGGCCATATAGTGTTCTCTACTTCATTCTTCACTTTGCACAAAGCACATAACGAGTCATCTAAGATTTTAATGACATTTCAACGAAAAAGGTAAGGAATATTCTCAAATGAGCAATGGATCGTTTGACTATAAGTGGTATATTATTGATTAGATAAACCTTTAGTGAAACTGACACATTCAGATGCTTATATTGGAGAATAACAATTATCGATACCAAATCGAAGCCGTCCCTATACTAAAGAAGATCATAGCTTTGAAAATCGGTATACACAGGTTGGCCTTTGATAGCATTTCCAAAAGCTGAAAAGGTAGCCTATCCTCTGATCTGTATTTGCCTGGTTTGTACAAAGACGAGTGAGAAAATTCATCAATCAAATTCAATCACAAATCCTAGTAAACCAACTGAGAGAATGTTTAAAATCAGTAAATAGATATAACGTTTCAGAGAGATATGTTTCAAGGAATATTTTTATCGAATTATGAAGATTAGATTAGGAAAAACAATTGTTGTAAATATATTTTGATTTTATTTAATTAATTGTTTCCACAGTATATGTGCATAAGATTACAAGAAAATAGATTCTAACTGCAAGAAGATGAGTTTCTATTTGTTTATTATTGTTTCAAGTTATTCTTTTGTTAACACAAAGCAATAACGCGCCATCTATACATATAAAATGAAAGGATTTAAAAGCAGGAATGTTTCTTTTATACAAAATACAAACTTCTACTCTCCTTACTGCGAGGAAAAAATATATTGGGAGGGCTTGGCTCATCAGTGGTGAACCCTCCCAGCGGTTTCGCCAATTTAATCCACCAGACCGCTTCTAAGAGCTCTAATACTGTAATGGACGATTCTGCTTATATACGCAGCACTGAAGGATGGAATCTCAGAAATATTTTTCAAGAAAACTATGGACATTATTGGACGATTCTGCTTATATACGCAGAATTGAAGGATGGAATCTCAGAAATAGTTTTCAAGAAAACTATGGACATTATTGGACGATTCTGCTTATATACGCAGCATTGAAGTATTAGAACTCTGAAAAGCGGTCTGGTGGATCAAATT